GGAGAGCACCAAGCGCCCCACAATTCTCGTCTTCCTCCTTTCTGCAAACCTTACTCCCTCCTAGCACTGATGATGTTACCTAGTAGGATCATGAAATGTCTGCCAGAAAACCCACCAAGCTCAAAGAGCACCAGGGACCACGCAGTTCAACTCTGAGCTACCAAGGTTTCTCTTCTACTGGCACTTCGATACCGTTGACTAGGAAACTTCCTGTTCCCATGAAGTCAACGGGTTGAGAACTTTCTTGAAGGACCCACAGCGGTGAAGCACATGAGACCAGGCCAGTATCTCAGATGACCTCGGTTGAGCTACCGAGCGGTCCCAACAGCAAGTATTTTGACCGCGCAGTCTTCAGGAGTCAAACCTGATCTGATGGCATCTTCTTCACCCTTTCTATGACCAGGAGCTCATCTTATGGACTGTTCTGACCAAAACTTATGGAGACACTAACAAACACACCTTAGTCCCCAAACGCGTTTTTCTGTATTTCAACAGCTGTGAATTTTAGTCATTCACAGCCCGTAATGAGTCTCAAACAGCTTGTGAATAGTCTCATGGAAGTCTGCCAAAATCCTTCAGGATAAGCCTGATAAGCACCCACCTTTATCTTCCTTGATATTCTGCCAACGACTAAATGTCCAATTAGTTATACGAGGCCAAAATGGAACACAAATTCAACACAGAGCTTCAGGTTTCAAACCGACCAGTACGAACAAAGTTGCTTCCTGCAAAGGCTCCTGTCCCTTGGCTCCTCCTTTATGTTTCATGGGAGGGCACAATCACCTCCAAGCCTTACTCCTGAGTCGCCCCTTTTGTCTTAACTGTTCTTGCCTTCTGGCAGCTCTGCGCACATGCGCACACTGGGAACAGGCTCCCCCTGCTCCTCCTCCTAGCTGCTGTCAGATTCTGGAGGCTCTGGAGTCAGCACATAACTTCCAGATGGTCCCTGGCCCCGTCTCTGTGTCGGACGCAGATCCCTCGTCCGAGCCCTCCCCACACTCCAGGACTGGCCCATGTTCCTCCTCACTGTCTGATTCCGCTGCCGTCTCCTCAGCCTGCCGATGGAGCACCACACGGACATCCGTCAAAAGAGAGGAAAGGCTAATGTCCTGCTTAGCATATCTCCCCAGAAGTTGAGGTAGATGTCACGGGAGATGCCCACCGCTGACCTTCCCACAGGCCCCAAAAGGATACTGACGGCAAAGACGTTGATCCCATCAACGGCGTATTTGTAATAATACGCGCTGACCGCCTGGTAACAACAGAGGACCACTTCCGCATCTAAAGGGACTTCCGTCTGGAGCGGAGAAGGAAGACAAGAGGAGAATAAACCGGGATTATGCTCATTATTGGTTCTAGGGCTGGCCTAGAGGCGGAGCTCTCGCCTCACCATCATCAGGAGGCTGCGAGTTCGATCCTAGCTAGAAGCAGATATTTCTCTCTCTATTCATGATGAGAATACATCTGCTGAACAAAACTCCACATTGGTGACAGGAAAGGCAGCCAGCCAGTCAAAACACTCTGCTAGCTCCATTCAGTTGCCCGGGCTTCACCCGGCAAGGGATTATGGGGTCGTTAAAAGACGACGATGCCGTGGCTCATTTTTTGTTCTACTGCAGGTAGTCCTCGACTTATGGCCACAACTGAGCTCGAAATGTCTGATGCTAAGTGAGTTTTGCCCCGTTTTAGGACATTCCTTGCCATTTCTTGTTAAGTGAATCACTGCACTTGTTCAGGGAATAATATGGGTATTAAGTGAATCCGGCTTCCTCGTTGACTTGCCTCGTCAGAAAGGTTGCAAAAGGGATCATGTGATCCCCCAGGGACGCTGCCACCGTCGTAAATATGAGTCTTTACAGAACAGAATGGAAGAACAGAGTTGGAAGGGACCTTGGAGATTCTCTAGTCCAGCGGTCGCCAACTGGCGGCCCACGGCCCACTGGTGGGCGGTGAGAAAATTTTGGGGGTCTGCAGAGAAATGGCACCCCCCAAAGCAATTAATCCAGGCTGTGCGGGAACACAAGGCTGTGCCGTCTACATGGCCTGCGGGAACCCTTCCTCCCCACTCACTCCTCACCCGGCAAACTTGCATACTAAATTGCTATTTTTCCTTTTTTTCCCCTGACTATCATCTGTTCTGCTGTGCTGGGAGATTTAGATTAGCTAGGAAGCAGGAAACGGTTGCATTTCTTACTTTCTAGCTAATCTTTAGATCTTAAAAGCAGAGCCGAATCTTCCTTAGGACTGAAGCAGTGCAGACTTAGCTAGTCGATGGCAGAAATACAGATCTCTAAGTGAATCTGTGATTCTGTGAGCAACTCAATCTGCCTGCTTGCTTTGCCTGATTTGGGGTAAAAAAGCTGCTCTCTTTTTTTTAAATAAAAAATTCAATATTTACATACATGGTGTTGATTTTATACATTTTATACACGTGAGTTGATTTTATGAGCTTGCTTGCTAGCAAATGTTATGAGTTTGCTAGCAAGCAAATTTTATGTGACAGACTCAGGTAGCCGATGCCAGAAAGATAGATCTCTGAATGAATCTATGATTCTGTGAGCAACTCAATCTGCCTGTTTGTTTTGCCTGATTTGGGGTAAAAGTTGCTCTTTTTTTAAATAAAAAAAATTCAATATTTATATAAATATTTATAATATTTACATACAAGCCATGCCCAGCCAGTCACATGACCACCAAGCCACACCCACAAATTAGACCACACCCACAGAACCACTTAGTGGTCCCCGGGATTTAAAATTATGAGTTGGGTGGTCCCTGAGGTCCAAAAGGTTGGTGATCCTTGGTCTGGTCCAAGCCCCTGCTTAGGCAGGAAACCCTGTTTCAGGGGATCACGTGACACCCTGCCAGGACACTGCAACCGTCGTAAATACAAGTCAGTTGCCAAGCGCTTGAATTTTGATCACGTGATTGGCGGGGACGTTGTCAGCGTGGCAAAACGGCTAAAAGTCCCTTTTTTTCAGTGCCGTCCTAAATGCCCAACGGTCACTAAACGAACGGTTGCAATTCAAGGATGATCTGTAAAAGCCCCGAGACCCTTCACACCTTCCGTAGGCGCTGAATGTGGACGCACTCGGGGGGCAGGAGGAGAATCGTGGTGACGGTGCGCAGGCTCATCTTGGCCGTTGGGATGAAGAAGACCAGAAGCCAACAGAGGACGCAGAGAAGAACGTGGGCAAAGACCAGGAGAGGGAACCCAGCCAGGAGCCAGATGTAGGTGCTACTACGCCACTACATAGGGCAGGAAAGAAGAAGAAGAGTTATGGCGGACGAGGTGGGGTCTCAGGAGCGGAATTGGAAACCACGGATGACTTACAAACAGCTATTACTAGCTCAATACTCATGCTTTGCTACGAAACTATGTGGTGGGGCTTAATTTGGGGGGAGGAAAATAAAGGGGAGGGGAAATTCTGCCTCTGCCTACCAGCATCCATCGGTTTATTCATCTGGCTAGCGTCCTGTCAGTGTGCGAGAGAGTTGAGGGCTGTTTGGAAACTGAAACATGGAAAGTGAAACAGTATTTGCTGTGCGAGCAAGGAGACAGCAAGGAGCCTGGGCGTGGCTTAGCTCAACTGTTCTGTACTAAAGCTCCATGGTGCTGCCGTGAAACTGAAACTGAAACTAAAACTCCTCTGCTTGTGTTTTGCATTTGGAAGAGATTTCTTTTCAGGCGGGGAAGGGAGTAGAACTCCTTAACATCAGAGCATGTTAATAATAATAATAATAATAATAATAATAATAATAATAATAATAATAATAATAATAATAATAATAATAATAATAATAATAATAATAATAATAATAATAATATAGGAAATACTTTTAATACTCTGATGGTCATTTCAAAAAAACCTTTCTTGGTGAGCACCTCGTTTAACCCAATGGGATTCTGGGACTTGAAGTCCACAAGTCTTAAAGGAGCCAAGATTGGAGATTCCTACATTATAAAACTGAAATCTGGCAGCTTATCTCACCAACCAAGAAAGAAGCTACAAGGCTTCTTGGAAGCACCACGACTAGCGTTTCTTGGAACGATTCAGAAAAACGCCCGCTGGCATCTTCTCTAGCCAAGCCAAGATGGAGGCAGCCAAGACCCGAGCATCCTTACCCAGAAACCACAACCGCCCATCTTACACGAATCCTGCCGGGGGAGCAAAGGAGTGGTGTCCTTCAGCACCTTGACCTCAGCGACGACGGGGTTCTGGTTGAACTTCATCTGGCAATCTGGACCGGGTCTTTTCATCTGGAAGAGGGAGAGAAGAACCAATCGGATTCCCCTCCCAAATTCGAGCAACCTGATCTGGAGCAAGGGGAGACTCCAGGGAAGGACTCTGGTTTTCCGGACCTCTTTCCTCCCACCTGCCGATGGGGTCATCCAGAACAGAAATGCAACTTGGGAGATAAGTTGATTCCAGGGGTGTATGTTTTGACCCAGGCTTCATCAAATGAAATTAAACTTGTTTTAAAAGCAAAGCCTATTTTGTTTATTGATTGATTGATTTATTAATTATTGATTTGATTTATATTGCTGCCTGTTCGTCCATGGCAACTCATTTTATTGTAACCCTGGGAATTCCTTGCATTCCCAGCCAGAGCTAATCTTAAAACAGTTCCCCAAGATAAGCACACACCTTTCAGTGCTGTGAAATGCTGCCAAAAACAGAAGTAATTATAACAGAAACCAACCGAAACAGCGGAAAAAAACCGTCCAGAGTTCACAGAGCTTCAAGGAGGACTCGGAATCTATCAAACTACTTTGCTTCCTGCAAAGGTTTCGTCATCTTGGCCTGACTTTTATCCCTTATGGGAGGGGCAATCTCCTCCCAGCCTTACTTCCGAGTCGCCCCTTTTGTTTCAGCTGCTCTCATCTTCTAGCAGCTCTGTGCAAGTGCGCACTGGGAATAGGCTCCCTTTGTTCCTCTTCCTCGCTGCTACCACACTCCGGAGGCTCCGGAGTCAGCACCTCACTCCCAGGTGGTTCTGGCCCCATCCCTGCATCGGACGCAGGACCCTCATTCGAGTCCTCCCCAGACTCCCTGACTGGTCCCCTTTCTTCCTCACTGCCCGACGCCACTGCTGTCTGCACGGGCTGCCGGTGAACCACAACAGTGGGATTCAAAAATCCCAACAACCGGTTCTCTGCCTGGTTGCTGGGTGACCATGGTGGGCGTGGCCTACCAGAACTTCCGGGAGGCTAGTTTTTTGCCTTCCCCAGGCTCCAGAGGCTTCCCTTGGGCCTCCAGGAGAGCGAAAACAACCTCCCCCAGGCTCCCAAGGCCCTCCGGAAGCCGGAAACAGGCCTATTTCCAGACTACCGGAACTTCTGGTTCGGCCCGTTTTTCCCAGAGCCTCCACGTCAACCATGAACTTACCTGCATCCAAACCGGGCTGCATGGAGACTGCTGGGAGGGACCAGCTGGTCAGTTCAACTACCGGTTCAGTGAACCAAATGTAAATTTAATGTCCAGTTTTGTCCTAACCGATCTGAACCGGATAAATCCCACCCCTGGTTGATTCCAGCTTTCCCAGAATCCCCCCAATCGGCTGAGATGAAGGTCCTGCCGATTGGGGGAACTCTAAGATCTGGAGAAAGCCACCCAACAGGCTTGAAGGAAGATGCTTCAGCCGTCCCAGAATGCCTTCCCTTCGAGGTGAACCTCCAACTTTCGTCCTCACCTTCTGAATTACTTTGCCGAACGGCCAGAGAAAATATCCCGCAAGCTTCCAGCAGAGTTTTCCTAAAATTGGGAAGAGGGTCAGAGAGCATATTCATGAACTGGAATAGAATATGGTGACAAGGTCAGCCAATGAATAGGCATAGCAACTAAGTCAGCCAATGAGGACGGTTTGGAAACTGAAACTAGAAGCAGCCTAGGCTGGAAACTGAAACTAGAAATAGCCTAGGCTGGAAACTGAAACTAAAAGTAGCTCAGGCTGGAAACTGAAACTAGAAGCAGCCTAGGCTGGAAACTGAAACT